CCAGTAAATAAAATTCAGCTGGATCTCTAGTTAAAAATAAAAAACTTTATCTCAGAAGTACAGCAGCAGCTATAACCTTGCCTCAAAGCCCAAACAAGCAGTAGAGCTGGACCTTGAGCCCACACTCTGAGCAAAACACTGTCAACTTCTTAAATTCTTTCCAGAAGGTTATTTGCTCTTCTAAAATGGAACTTATTATTATTATTATTATATGTCCCGGGGGCTTGAAGTACAACGGCCCAATGTTCTGGGTGATTAAATATGGGAGGGGCATGCAATTACTAGATTTAACAAGAATTGTGAAGAAAATAACATCAGGCTCCAAAATAGCTCCGCCTCACTATAAAAATATACCTGATTCATCAGCCTTCAAAGGAGCTCTGAAGCTCCGCCCACATCAACAGTGTTAGTGTTATCATGATGAAGAGGCTGACCATGACACGCTCTGGTGTCTTCACCCTGACACCAACCATGACTTACCTTACAGAGATCCAGGTGAGCTCAGGTCAGGGCGTGGCATCTATCACTGAGCGCTGGATTATCCTGACTACAGTGAACGCAGCGTTATCACATAACCTGCAGGACATTTTCTTTTAACTTCAGCCAATGTTTGCAATTACGAAACACATTTGAACAAATAAACAAAAAAATCGAGATGTTTGGAACTACTAAAATTTTTATTTTAAATGTTAATTGTTTTTCCAAATAAATACAATCTGCCAAGGCAGTTAGGGATTTGGTAGTGTTGGCTTGTTAGTCAGTCCTACTCAGAGCTGCAGCTCTGTCATCTGACACAAACACAAACTGCAACAGAGCCACAGACTGATGTCACTGGGATTTAGTGATGTCATACAGCAATTTACTGATGTCATACAGTGATTTACTGATGTCATACAGTGATTTACTGATGTCATACAGTGATTTACTGATGTCATACAGTGATTTACTGATGTCATGCTGTGATTTACTGATGTCATGCTGTGATTTACTGATGTCATACAGTGATTTACTGATGTCATACAGTGATTTACTGATGTCATACAGTGATTTACTGATGTCATACAGTGATTTACTGATGTCATGCTGTGATTTACTGATGTCATGCTGTGATTTAGTGATGTCACTGTGATTTAGTGATGTCATACTGTGATTTAGTGATGTCATACAGTGATTTGTGCTGATGTCATCCTGCATGTTTAGAGGTTTCTCTGCTCCAACACATCTGACTGGAATGTATGGGTGAGGAGCAAGCTTAGGCTGAAGCTGAGAATGGAATTCAGTGATTGAATGAGGTGTGCTGAATCAGAGGAAGAAGTAAAACATGCAGGACAGCGTTGCCCACCCCTGCTCTAACCCTAACAGTCAGGGTCTTTGCAGAGGTGTTCACTCTCAAAGGGTTTCTAGTTTGTGTTACAATCAATATTCTGTTAAATAAACCTTGACAGAAAATGACTGAATGTCTGATTCTGATCATCAGTTAGGAAAGAACATAAAAATAAAATAAAAGTCTGTCATTTGGTCAGAATGAGAAGTTTGGGAAACAAAAGGTCAGCAGGAAATAAAAAAACTATTTTTAAACATTTCACAATAAAATTCTCATACAGGACAAAAACAACTTCCTCTTAAACTACATTACATCTCTTTTCAAAAATAAACTTCAAGAAGAAAAAGAAAACCTATTTCCTCTACTACTT